GATCTTGGCTCACTGCAACCTCCACCTCCTGGGTTCAAGTGATTCTCCTGCCTCAGCCTCCCCAGTAGCTGGGGCACATGCCACCACACCCAGCTAACTTTTGTATTTTTTAGTAGAGACAGGGTTTCACCATTTTGGCCAGGATGGTCTTGATCTCTTGACCTCATGATCCACCTGCCTTGGCTTCCCGAAGTGCTAGGATTACAGGTGTGAGCCACTGCGCCTGGCCAAGTATGAGTCTTATAATGGAGTATTGTTATTTCACTACTTGTCCACTCCAGAAGCACATAGGGACCCTCAACTGGGGAAGTGGCTCTGGGTAGGAATGAGGGGAGCTCTTTCCTCACTTATCTTAACCTCCTTTCCCCTTCCCAGGGTTTGGCCCTGTCTTTACAACCAGTGACCCTGACAGCTTCTGGCAACAGCTTAATGAGATCCACGCCTTAGGGGGTGGAGACGAGCCTGAGATGTGCCTGTCAGCCCTGCAGGTCTGGCCCCTCTCCTCTTCCCTTCTTATCCCCACCGCGTTTCCTGGCCCCGCCACCAGGGGGAGCTAGATCCCTCCTGGGGCTCCCCGCTACCTTCAGAACCTAGATCCACTAGCTTCACTCCAGGATTACCGGGCCATATTCCCTTCTGCTTCATCCTCCGTGGTCTACCCATTCCCCTCCTGCTGCCATTGTTAACACCGGTCGTTGTCTTCCCTGCCAGCTGGCCCTGCTGCACACACCTCCACTCTCAGACATCTTTGTCTTCACGGATGCATCCCCCAAGGATGCCTTTCTCACCAACCAGGTGGAATCCCTGACTCAGGAACGGCGCTGCCGGGTGAGCAGAGCTGGTGAGATACCCAGTGTTAGCCTCCCAGGGATGTGAGCGACCCTGTGATGACAATCTCATCACGAGGGTTGCACCACACTATGGTGGCCCGACAAGCCTTGGCACATGGGAGAAGCAGACAGTGAACGAAACCTTTCCTGATACCTTTAATGATACACGTAGGAGACCCCACCCTTAATAATGCAGAATTTTTATTTGAACCTGCCCAGTAAACAATGTGAAGAACTGGGGATCTAGTCGCCAAAAATCCACTGTGACAAGGGGGTGGCCAACTACTAACTGAAGGCAGGGGGTTGTCATTGGGAGACCCCATCCTAGCAGCCAGAAGGCAGGCAGAGACCTTATCACGAACCATCAGCTCTGGAGAAAGCTTGAGTACAGGGATTCTCCTTCATAATAGTGGATGGCACTTGGATACCCCAACCACCGAGCTCTCTTCTGGCCACAGGTAACATTCCTGGTGACTGAAGACACATCAAGGGTTCAGGGCCGAGCTCGGCGTGAGATCTTGTCCCCTCTGCGTTTTGAGCCATACAAAGCAGTGGCCCTGGCCTCAGGAGGAGAAGTGATCTTCACCAAAGACCAGCACATTGGAGACGTGGCAGCCATTGTTGGGGACAGCATGGCTGCCCTGGTGAGCAAGTGGGGGCCAGGGCCCTCACTTAGGAACTGAAGGGTGGTCAGGCTGCACCTCTCTTCTTATAGGAGAAAGGGGAATCACTCTCACTGCTGTGTTGTTCTTCCAGTCACGGGGCAGGAAAGGAAGTTTCTCCCCCTCTGAGATCCATGGCTAGCCATTTCTTTTTTTTTGAGATGGAGTCTCACTGTCACCTAGGCTGGAGTACAGTGGCGCGATCTCGGCTCACTGCAAGCTCTGCCTCCCAGGTTCAAGGGATTCTCCTGCCTCAGCCTCCCGAGTACCTGGAGTTAAGGCACCCACCACCAGGCCCGGCTAATTTTTGTATTTTTTAAGTAGAGCCAGGGTTTCACCAGTTTTTTGGCCAGGCTGGTCTCGAACTCCTGACCTCAAGTGATCCGCCCACCTTGGCCTCCCACAGTGCTGGGGTTATAGGCT